GGCCCCACACGTCCAGGTGGAGAGTCTGCAGGGGAGCCTCTGTGGGAGGGAACGAGGAGGAGTGAGGAGCGGCGCGCTGCCGCCCCTCGACGCAAGGAATGCAGGGCGGCGCAGGCGAGGGAGGGAGAGCAGGCAGAGACCTGGGAAGACCAGAAACCAGGGAACGAGAGTGCATGCCACGAAGGCGAGGCAGGGAGGGGTGACCAAGGCGGTGGTGCCACAGGAGAGTGTCGTGCGACAAAGCGCGACACTCGCAGGGGGCCGCCAGCTGACCAGACGTAGACGCAGACGCAGCTACCTGAGGGGACGCAGTGGTCAGTGTGTACAGACTCGAGCCAGATGCATGGGTGAACGTGGCCAAGTGTCGGCCCGTCCGAGCACACGTACAGTGAGTCACTCGCTGACTCGCAGGAGTGAACTGGTCAACCCCCCCATCCTGGAGGTCAGCTCCACTCACCAAGTTCGTAGAGAACGAGGAGAGGTAAAGACCTGACAGGAAGCCAGACGGGACGGCCGGACACGGCAGAACCGTGGAGTAGTGGGCAAGGACTGGACCCCCAGAGGGGTCCGCCAGGGAGACCGGAACTGGCCGACTGAGCGGCGTGAGTGTGGTGCAGTCGCGAAAGAAAGAGCGGGAAGCTCCTGAGTCAAGGGTGAAGGTGTGCAAGACCGCAGCAGGCGCAGTACCAGAGAGAGCAAACTCACCAGCACCTAGAGCAGGAGATGCACTAGCACCTAGAGCAGCAGCCGCACCAGCACCTAGAGCAGGAGACGCAGGAGCACCTAGAGCAGCAGCCTCACCAGTACCGAGAGCAGCAGGCTCTATACCAGGGTCAGGCGGTACGCACAGGTAACAGGCACGGTCAACACTAGTAGACAATGCATACATGGCAGTGAGAATAGCATCATAGTCAAGAGCAAAGATATCTACCCTCTGTCCAAGCAGCTCCACCCAGGTGGGGAGCTCAGCCTCGTCGCCAAACTTGGTACACCAGGCGTCGCTCAGACGGGCGAAGCAGCGGGACTGTGTGTGACCAAGCGTCCCGCAAGGCTGACCAGTCCGATCACCTGTGCGAATGACGTACGGACAGCGAACTGTACGCGTAGACCTGCTACTCTGAACGTACCACTCCTGGAGCTGCCGGGACGTAAGTGTCTCGCGTGGGCGCCGCTGCAGCTGCAGCTGGCCACTGCCAGACGCCCCCAACTGACCAGCTCCAGGGCGACAGCTACGACGGCTACCGCGACAGCCCCAACTAGTATACCACTCACTAAGCTGCTGGGGCGTGAGAGACTCGCGTGAACGTCGCTGGAGCTGCATCTGGCCACGTGCCAGTAGCAGTAGTAGCAGCAGTAGCGCGGGCAGGGCAGGCGCGGCAGGCAGGCAGGCAGGCAGGCAGGCAGGCTGACAGGCAGGCAGGCAGGCAGGCAGACAGGCCGGCAGGCAGGCAGGCAGACAGGCCGGCAGGCAGGCAGGCAGGCAGACAGACAGGCAGGCAGGCAGACAGGCAGGCAGGCAAGCAGGCAGGCCGGCAGGCAAGCAGGCAGGCAGGCAGACAGGCAGGCCGGCAGGCAGGCAGGCAGGCAGGGCGGCAGGCAGGCAGGCAGGCAGGCAGGCAGGCAGGCCGGCAGGCAGGCGCTCACCAAAGGCTGGAAGAGCAGGCGCTCGCCGGGCGAGCAGGGTCGGCGCTCGACGGGCGGCGGCCGAGTAGGCGCACGACAGCGGCGACGTCGGGGCCGCAACACCGGCTGCAGAGTAGGGCCGCGGCAGCTGCAGGGCGGGACCGCTTCAGCGGCAGTCGCAGGGTGGGGCCGCGTCAGCGGCAGGTCGGGGTCGCGGCAGCTGCAGGGCGGGGCCGCATCAGCGGCAGGTCGGGGCCGAGGCAGAGGGCCGCGCGCGGCTCGGCGCGGGCTGCGCTGACAGCGCGCTGGGCTGCTGCAGGCCGCGCGCGGCCGCGCTAGGCAGTAGCGGGCCGCGCGCGGCTCGGCGCGGGCTGCTGCGGGCCGCGCGAGGCAGTAGCAGGCCGCGCGCGGCTCGGCGCGGGCTGCTGCGGGCCGCGCGCGGGCCTCGCGAGGCCGTAGCAGGCCGCGCGCGGCTCGACGCGGGCTGCGTGGGCTCGGCGCGGGCTGCGCGCGGCAGCAGCGGGCTGCGCGCGGCTCGGTGCGGGCTGCGCGCGGCTGCAGCGGGCTGCGCGCGGCTCGGTGCGGGCTGCGCGCGGCTGCAGCGGGCTGCGCGCGGCTCGGCGCGGGCTGCGCGGGCTCGGTGCGGGCAGCGCGCGGCAGCAGGGGGCCTAACGGGTCTGCAGGGGCTGTTCGCGGGCCTGAAGGGCGTGTAGGGGCGGCGCGCGGGCCTTACGGGCCTCTAGGGGCAGCGCGCTGGCCTAGGGCAGCAGGAGGCAGCGCTAGGGCTGCTGGACGGCGCGCGTAGCGCAGCACGTCACAAGGCAAGGCAAGGCAGGCAGGTACGTGGGGTAGCGCGGTAACTGCAGCGGTAGGTGGGCCTGAAAACCCTAATGGATGAACTAGCAGGAAGATGGGTACAAGTAGGAAACCCTAATTTGGGTTGTACCCCATATGGGCTACCCCACTACAGCCTACACAATAAGCAGCATATATGTTTGACAGGGGAGTTGGGGGCGTGAGGGGGGAGTTTGGATGGGGAGGAGAGGGTGGAGAGGTGAGAGGGGGTGATTTCTCTGGTCGTGCGCAACAAAGGAAAGTTGGAACAATGGGGGGGCAAGGAGGGAACAGCGGAAGACCGTTGTAAGGAAGGGAGAAAATGGGTATATGAGAGGGAGAGGATGGAAGAAAGTGAGAGAGAGTGAGGGAAGAGAAATGGGAGCAGGATGAGAGATGGGAGAGGGGGGAGAAGGTGGAAGTAGGGAACGTGGTATGGGAGTAGAAGAAGTGAGATGGGCGAAGGGAAATGAAATGGGATGGGATAAGTGAAGAGGAGAGGGGGAAATGAGAGGGAAGACAAGTGGAGAGGGAAGAGGGGAGCTGTGGTAAAACACCGGCTGATGCATGCTAGTGAAAAAAGGGTGCGCAAAAATGATGCATGCTAGCAAAGATGCATAGGGAGCTCGTAAATTGGGATTGATGGGAGATGATGGGGAATGAGGAGTGATGCGGGGGGGACAGAATGGGAGGTGGCAGGCGGGGGGGGGAGAGGACGGGGGGAAATGAGGGGGAAAGGGTGCGGGAAGGCGGGTACTGAAGGGTGAGCGACAGGGGAATGAGGGATGAGCGATGGGGGCATGAGGCGTGAGCGATGAGGGGAAATGATTGATGAGCGATGGGGGCATGAGGGGTGAGCGACGGGGGGGAATGAGGGATGAGCGACGCGGGCAAATGAGGGAGATGAGCGAAGGGGGAAAATAAGGAATTCGCGACGGGGGGAAAGAAGGGATGAGCGAAGGGGAAAAATGAGGGATTCGCGACGGGGGGAAAGAAGGGATGAGCCAAAGGGGGAAATGAGGGTTGAGAGAGGGTGGAAAAGGAGGGGTGAGCGAAGGGGGAAAATGAGGGATGAGCAATGGGGGAAATGAGGGATGAGCGACGGGGGAAAATGAGGGATGAGCGACGGAGAAATGAGGGGTGAGCGACGGGAAAATGAGGAGCGAGCGACGGGGAAATGAGGGGTGAGCGACGGGGGGAAGTAAGGGTGAGCGACAGGGACATGAGGGGTACGGGGAGTGTGAAGTAAGCGAGGGGGATGCGGGGTGAGCGGAAAGGAAATGAGAAATAAACAATTAGGGAATGCGGATGGCGGACGAGAGAGATGACTGGATAACGAAACGGTGATGTGCGGTCATCGCAGGTTGAATGACGGGTGGGCGCAATGGGGATAGGGGAAATTCAGAACGAGCGATTAGGGGGGAAAAGGGATGAACGAGACGGAGTGTGGGGGCCAGTTCAAACTTAAAAGCCCTCTCCGAAACCCTAGCTGCCCTGCAGTGGCGTAAGTAGAAACAGTCGGCAAAAGGAGGGAAGAGCGGGAAACGGGGTGAGGGGAAAGAGGGGAACATGGGGAAACGGGAGGAACGATGTCCGATCTTGCAGTCGTGCTCCTCTGCGTAGAGACGCCACGAGTGCGCGCCGCCAGCGCGCATCATTAGAGACAGCGCGCGCCACGGAAACATAGCGATGCGCGCACTCTAGGTTTCGGTACGAAATTAACTCCCATAAGTATATCGTGACCACCCAACAAGTGCGCAGTCCGTCAAGATTAGCGCTGCTCTGCGAAGACTTGGCTGCACGAAATCGACGAAGTAACTATGGCGATCTTCCGGCTTAAAGGTAAGCAGCATCTGGCAGATCGACACGGTACCTCGCTAAGGCGCAAACTACAACGAAGGTGGCGGGACTAAGAACTAGCTAACTACGGGCGAAAGGCGATACAATGCGTAGAAATCGAAACTAGGTGAACAGATCTGAGATGGAGTGGCTAATTGGCGTACACAGATCTGAGCTGGTGGTGGTATACCACCGAAACATCATCCTCCCTTCCCCACCTGTCTCCTTGAACTTCCCTTTCCCATAAATTTTCGTCTCCCTCGGTTTCGCTTCCTTCTCATCTCGGTTTTTTATTGGTCCTCGTTTTTTTTTTTTTTATCCCAACCCCTTCCTTGCACCTGCCCAGAACTTGATATGACACCAGCAAAACTTCTTGCAGCCAATAGACATTCTTATTCTCATGTCGTCCCGCTCCTCATGCAAAAACTCAAGTCTAGACCATAACCTAGTGCCATGTGACCTGCCCGTTTCTTAGAACCTCTTGACTAGTGGCACACTCCAAATCAGATCAAACATTTCAATATAACAGAATAAAAAACCACTCAAAAGTGTTCTTCACCAACCCGCAAACCATACGCAGCACATTCAAGCAGAAACAGATACAACCGGGGATGACCGCGCGCAGACCTTCCCTGCCACCACTACAGTATTCTGACCCTTCGGGAGTCGAAACCAAAATTTGGCGGATTCCGCCACGATGGTCGATGGGCGCATTGGCTCTGGCACTGCTGCATTCCCTCCCTGGCACCACTGTTCTGACTCTGCTCAGTCAACTGGTCAACCTTCCCTCCCTGCCACCCTTCACTGTTCTGACTCGTCTGGACCTGAGTCAAACCAAAATTTGGCGCTTCTTGATTGTCATCAACTTGGTCATTCCTGCCAAGCGATTTCTAACGACGCGATTCGAGCCCTCGGTGCGCGTTGCCGCTCGCAACTTCATATTCGCTTCTGTTGTGAGCTTCTTTCTCACAAGACTTGAAGACTTGAGCGCCACTCTACGGATCAAGAAGCACAACAGGAGTCTCGTCCCGAGGTGTTTCCATCGTGCCTTTCAGGCTCGCAAGAACGCGCGCGAGAAGACCATGGAGGCGGTTTCAAGTTGTGCGTTTCAGGCATACAAGATCAAGCTCGAGAAGTTCCTGCCGAGGAGTTTACTTGTGCCTTTCAGGCTTGCAAGAGCGCGCGCGCGAGAAGACCATGGAGGCGGTTTCAAGTTGTGCGTTTCAGGCACACAAACTCAAGCTCGAGGAGTGCCTGCCGAGGAGTTTCCCTTGTGCCTTTCAGGCATTCAAGAACGAGCGCTCGTGAAGACCAAAAGAGGCGCTTTCCACTTGTGCATTTCAGGTACACAAGAAGCCGCGGATGATTCAATCACTTTCCTATCTCCTCTCTTACTTCTCCTCCCCCCGCAGATCACGGGAGGAGGTGCACCACAGTCAAAGGTAATATTGGTGAGCTCCCTTCCTCCTCTGCTTTTAGTTTTTGCTGTTCATTCTGTCTTTGTTGTTATTCTTTATTCTCTTTTCTTTTTTTTACTAACTTACCCTTTTGGTTTGTTCCTCTGCGCTGCAGGTTTAGCATGGAGCCGCGGCGTATCACCCTCCCTTTCTCCTCTGTTTCTTCCTCTCCCCCCTAGATCACGGGAGGAGGACGGTCAGATCTACTCCGCTTATAAGGTAGAAACTGTGAACTCCCTTTCTCATTCGTTTTCAGTTTTTTTTTTGTTTTTTTGTCTTTGTTGTTGTTCTTTCTTTTCTTCTTCTTGTTTTTACTAACTTACCCTTTGCTTTCTAGTTCACGTGAATATCAAGGTAGTCTCGAAACCGCCAGCAGTAGGAGCCGTAACGAGCGTAGTTGGGTATACTGTGATAGACATCTACTATTCTTTAGGTAAGTCTTGTCGATTTGTCGTTCTTTTATACTCCCAGTTCGTCCACCGTGAGGAGCAATTATTAGACTCGTGTCACCGTCGCCATCTTGTCAATTTCTGTATACTAAGGGTCACCCACTGGTAACATCGCCTGCAACGCTCCTGCAGGTGCGGCTAGCTTGTCGAATCTGTGCCTCGTGATTTTTGCGATGTGACGTCTCAATGAGCACCTGCCATTCAGCGACTATTTATGATAGCCGATGATTGATCTCTGGTTAACCATTCTCGCCTTTACGTTCTTGCTTTTGCTAAATCACAGACGGTTACGCAAAATGTCAGATTGCTGGAATGCGGGCGCAATAATCGCGACTGTCTTCCTTCCACCTCTTGGAACCTTCATGAAGAAAGAGTGCGGATACGAATTCTGGGTACGAAAAAATCCTGTTTGTGCGCTGAGGTTTTCGGATGCTTGAGCAGTATCTCTTTGCTTTTGTTACGGGAGCGCACGCCGATGTGATGGGTATCCTACTCTCTGATTCATTTGCAGATCTCCATTCTACTCACACTCTGCTTTTGGATCCCTGGGATGATATACTCTGCGTGGGTTGTTGCCCAACAGTAAGTTCTTTCCTTTTAGCACGCTGCTGCGTCGTTTTCCTTGTTAGGTCTAGATCTAGTATTTACTTCATGTGACATTATTGTTAACTACCGTGTCTGTCTGCCTGTTCTGTTTGTGCAGAATCCGAGTTGAGGCGATGGGACCAATGCCAGGACACTGAAGTGCAAATGTACATACTTACCATTTGTAGCCATGTGCATTCCCCACAAGTTCCCGTGTACATTCCCCTCATGTTCTGTGTCTACTGGGGTAGGTGAGACCAAAGTGTCAAGTCATGTTGGTTGGGGTGGAGTGGACTTGTCAAATGTTGTAGCCTATAGTGAGGTTTGTCTTAAGGGGTACAAAACTTAGGGTTAGCTATATGTACCCCAACCAACATCAATGCACCATTCATTCCTCATTCTGACATGGTATCAGAGCGGTTAGGATCCTGTGGGATCCCGTTTCTCCGTTCTCCGATCGTACCACCCGAGCCTGATCCTAGCTCTCGTTTCGCCCGTCTTGCCCGAGCCTAGTGCCGGCCCGATCTAGTCCCGTTCGTTCGTTACCGCTCGTTCTTCCTCCCGATCTAGCGTAGCCCGATCTAGCGTACCGCTGCCGGTCGCGCTGCGCTTTCCCCCCCTGATGCCCGTCGAGGCGCGCTTCCCCCCCGCTGCCGTCGAACCGCGCTTCCCCCCCCCGCTGCCCGTCGAACCGCGCTTCCCCCCGCTGCCCGTCGACCCGCGCTTCCCCCCGCTGCCCGTCGACCCGCGCTTCCCCCCGCTGCCCGTCGACCCGCGCTTCCCCCCGCTGCCCGTCGACCCGCGCTTCCCCCCGCTGCCCGTCGACCCGCGCTTCCCCCCGCTGCCCGTCGACCCGCGCTTCCCCCCGCTGCCCGTCGACCCGCGCTTCCCCCCGCTGCCCGTCGACCCGCGCTTCCCCCCGCTGCCCGTCGACCCGCGCTTCCCCCCGCTGCCCGTCGACCCGCGCTTCCCCCCGCTGCCCGTCGACCCGCGCTTCCCCCGCCGCCCGTCGACCCGCGCTTCCCCCCGCTGCCCGTCGACCCGCGCTTCCCCCCGCTGCCCGTCGACCCGCGCTTCCCCCCGCTGCCCGTCGACCCGCGCTTCCCCCGCCGCCCGTCGACCCGCGCTTCCCCCCGCTGCCCGTCGACCCGCGCTTCCCCCCGCTGCCTGTCGACCCGCGTTTCCCCCTGCTGCCCGTCGATCCGTCGCCCTGGCCCGCGCCCCAGCCCGTCTCCCCAGCTCGCGCCCTAGCCCGTCGCCCTGGCTCGCGCCCTAGCCCGTCGCCCACGCTCGGCGCCTTTGCCCTACCCGCGCGCCCGCCACACCTGACCTACCCGCCCGCTCTTGCCCGCTCTTCCTGCCCGTTCTCCCTTGCCGCTGCGCCCTGCTTTCCCTGCCAATTCCGTTTGCACACTATGGCGACCCCTCGCGTCCTTCGTTTCGATGCTGACGGTCGCCCGCTCGATTTCCCAGTCTGGCTTCTTCGCGCTCGCCGCCTGTTAGAGAGTCAGGTCCAGGCAGGCGAGACCCTCTGGGCGCACGCTACTGGTGCCCTACCTGCGCCCCCCGACCCTACGCCTTTAGGACCTGCCCCTGACGACGCCGCTAGAGCCCGCTTTGCCACTCAGCGAGCTGACCAGACGGCTTGGACGTCACGTGACGCTGCGGCCTGCATCGCGCTCAGCAGCCTCCTCCCTGAGTCTGAGGAGGTTCACTTCACTCAGGTTCGCACCGCTGCTGCGTACCTCACTGCGATTAAGGCCCGCTACTCTACTCCCGCTGCTGTCTCTCTTGGCCGCCTGTTCCTCCCGTTCCTGTTTCCTGACCTAGCGTCTTTTGAGCGCTCTGCTGACTTGATCGCTCACCTCCGCTCGCTCGACGCTAGTTACCGCGCTGCTTGCACTGAGGCACAGCTTGCACTGCTTCCTCCCCCTATGGCGATTACTATCTATTTCATCGCCACTAGCCTCCCTGACCGCCTTGCCTCCGTTCGCGACGCGCTTCTGCTGAAGCACCCTAGTGAGCTCACCGTCGAGGTCCTTGAGTCTGCACTCAAGGACGTCGAGAGCAACCTTCGCTCGGTAGCCGCTGCCTCTGGTGCTGTGCCCCCCCCACTCTTCCACGGGTGCACAGTCCCGCAGTTACCCACCTTTACTGCCTCACTTGCCACTGCCGCTACTGACGCGACTGCAGCTGCTGTTACGACTGCGTCGCGGTCCCGCGGTAGGAGTGGCAAGAAAGGCGGTTCTGGTGGTGGTAGTGGAGGTGGAGGCGGAGGTAGTGGAGGTGGCGTTGCGCCTGGCGGCGGTGGAGGTTCAGGGCCTGGAGAGGCGCCTCGTGCAGTGACTGGTGACTCCACTGCGCCTGCTGGTGGTGGCGACGCCCGAGTTCGTCAGTCGCCTCCTGTACTTCCTGCCCCGGTTGGTGGAGCAGCGGCGTGGTACCAGGCTCAGCGTCAGCAGCAGCTTCTGCAGCACCAGCAGCCCCTCTCCTCCCAGCAGCCTCAGCAGCAGCAGCGGCAGCAGCTGGCTCCAGGGTCGGGGCTGCGTCAGACCCAGCGCGGTGCTGCTTACACTCCCTGCACCTACCAGGTTCTGACAGGCCCTCGTCGTGGCCACCCTTGTGGCCGGTTTCACCCCCCTGGTCAGTGCTTTGCTCAGCTCACTGACACGGTTCGTTTGGTCTACGGGGTTGGTGCTCCTGCCCCTGACTGGCTGCCTCTTGTTCAGCGCTACGGCTCCGCTCTGTGGGGCATGTCTGCTGAGCAGTTAGTTGATCTCATTGGTACTCCCCATGCTATGTATGCTGTTGTTGACTCTAGTGTTTCTGACTCTGCTTACTCTGCTGTTGTTAGCTTAGGTGCTAGCCTTGCTCAGTTGCCTGTTGCTAGTGTAGGTTCTTGTGTAGACTCTAGTCCAGCGGCTACCTCAGAGGACGGTTCGCTGTCGTTCACGCTGGACTCTGGAGCTTCTCACTGCTTCTTTCGTGACAGCACGACACTTACGCCTCTTCCTGCGCCTGTTTCTGTGGCGCTGGCTGATCCCACTTCGGGACCAGTCACCGCGCGTCACACTACCACCTTGCCGTGTCCGGCTGCTCCTTCTGGGTCTCTCACTGGGTTTCACGTCCCCTCGTTCTCCCGGAACTTGGTGGGCGTGCGACCCCTCGTGAGTCAGCACGTGGGTGTGTGGTTTGAGCCTTCTGGAGAGACTGCGGTGTGTGTTGACGGGGACTCTTACCAGCCCCTCGCCACTTTTGCTGCTGAGCCGGGCTCCGGTCTCTACACTCTTCACACTCGCCCGCGCGCTCAGCAGCGACTGCAGCAGCAGCAGCAGCCGCAGCAGCAGCAGCAGCAGCAGCAGCCGCAGCCGCAGCAGCAGCAGCGGCAGCAGCCGCAGCCGCAGCAGCAGCAGCGGCAGCAGCCGCAGCCGCAGCCACAGCCGCCCCTCCTGCCCCCGGCCCCTGTTTTGCCTCCCGTTCGAGTCCTCGCGTCTCACCAGGTTGCTCCGTCCCCCCAGGTAGCTGTGTCTTGTCAGGTTCCTCCGTCTAGTCCGGTCGCTGCGTCGTGCTCCTGTCGGTCGCTTGCCCACCCCACCGTTTTGTGGCACCACCGGCTGGGGCACCCTTCTCCTCCTCGTCTTCGCGCTATGTCTCGTCAGCGTCTTGTCTTAGGTCTCCCGCGTGTCTTGCCGTCGCTGCCGCCGTCCCTTGCACCACCGTGCGGTCCTTGCGTCGAGGGTAGGCTGCGCGCCACCCCTCACTCCTCCTCCCTTCGTCCGGCCACCGAGCCTTTTGAGACGCTGCACTTGGACGTCTGGGGCCCCTCTCCTCGCCCTGGCCCTGAGCGTGAGCGTTTCTTTTTGGTGGTCGTTGACGACTACTCCCGCTACACCACAGTGTTCCCCCTGGCGAGGAAGTCTGAGGTGACTTCTACGCTGATCAGGTGGTTGCTTACCACCCAGGACACTCGTGGTCGTCGTGTCAGCTGTCTCCACTCCGACCGCGGGGGCGAGTTTCGCTCCGGCATTCTCGCTGGATTCTGTCGCGAACAGGGCATTCGTCAGTCCTGGACGCTTCCGGAGTCCCCACAGCAGAATGGGGTTGCTGAGCGTCGCATAGGCCTGGTCATGGAGATTGCCCGCACCTCCTTGACTCACGCCCGTGCCCCCCATTTCCTGTGGCCATACGCGGTCAGGTACGCCGCGCACCAGCTGAACCTCTGGCCACGCGTCTCTCGGCCGGAGGCTTCACCGACCAGTCTTTGGACAGGGTCCCCTGGTGTCGCGTCGAGGTTTCGTGTCTGGGGGTGCTTGGCTCTTGTCCGCGACACCTCCGCGGACAAGCTCTCGCCTCGCGCCGTTCCTTGTGTCTTCCTTGGTTTCCCTGAGGACTCCTCTGACTTCACCTTTTACCACCCTCCCTCTCACCGGTTCTTTGACTCCCGTGACGTCCGTTTCGAGGAGTCCACCCCCTACTACGTCAGGTACCCCAGTCGAGGTCTCCCGGTCCCTCCCCCCCCTCTCTTCCTGACCGCCGCTCCCCCGCCTGCTCCCCCGGTACAGCCTCCCCCCCCTGGTCCAGCCCCGTCTGGTGTGTCTCAGGCTAGCCCTCCCCCTTCGGTAGCCCCCCCTGTACAGCCTCCCTCCCCACAGTCTTCCTCGCCGCCTCCTGCAGGTGCTCCCTCTCGGGAGGTTGGTCCTGCGACTGTCCCTGTACAGGTCTCTGGTTCTGGGGGTGCTGGAGTTGGAGCTGAGCCGCGGGTTGCAGAGGACTCTTGTCTTCCGGGGGCTGGTACTGGTCGTGCGGAGTCTGGGGGTGCTGGTGCGGAGTCTGGGGGTGCTGCGTCTGGGGGTGAGGGTGTCCCTTCGGTTTCTAGAGAGCCTGGGTCTGGAGCTGGTGTTGGTGCTGCCTCTGGGGGTGGTGTACTTGGTGCTTCGGAGGTCGACTCTGGGGCTGCCGCTGCCCCGGACACTACTCCTTCCCCCCACCCCTACCCGACCAGGTTCCAGGCTCGTGTTCGCCGTGCTCGTGAGGAGCAGCTGGAGTTGGAGAGAGAGGAGCGAGAGTTGCAGCGGCTCGAGGAGCAGGAGCGACAGCAGCAGGAGCAGCAGCAGGGGCAGCAGCCGCTGGAGCAGCAGCAGCCGCAGCAGCAGCAGCT